AAAATGTTTATTTGGAGTTAAAATAGAAGAGAAACCTTTTTTTAAAGATTTTTTTATTTGAATTAGAAACAAGATCGTTTTACATGACAACCCCAGTTCCTTTCTCCCTCCTGTCCTCCCCTACCACCCCCCAAACTAAAACCCTACCTATCACATATCCTTTCTTTTATTCTTCTCCTGACTCAACCTTTCTGCTCCCTCATGACCTCTGGATCCTTCCTCTTCTTCCCTTCTCATTCTTGTAGCTCCCTCCCCCTCTTCCCGTGCTTTCAATTTGCTCAGGGGATCTTTATCCTTCCTTTCCCCTTCTACAGAGGAACAAGTATGGCTCTCTAAGGGTCCTCCTTGTTTACTAGTTTCTCTGGCAGAGTGGATTGTAGGCTGCTAATCCTTTACTCTGTGTCTAAAATCCACATATGAGTGAGTACATACTATGTTTGTCTTTTGTGATTGGGTTACCTCTCACAGAATGGTTTCTTCTAGTTCTATCCATTTTCCTGCAAATTTCAAGATTCCATTGCTTTTTCCGCTGAGTAGTAATCTATTGTGTAAATGTACGACATTTTCTCTATCCATTCTTCAGTTGAGAGGTATCTAGGTTGCTTCCAAGTTCTGACTATTACAAATAGTGGTGCTATGAACATCATTGAACAGATGTCCCTGTTGTATGAATGTGCTATTTTTGGTATATGCCTAGGAGTGGAGTTTATAGATCCTGTGGTACACTTATTCCCATTTTCTTGAGGAGTCACCATACTGATTTCTTAAGTCCAATTGGTCCATTACTTCGATTATTTCCTTTGTTTCTTTGTTAAGTTTCTTTCTAGTGTTCCTATCCAGTGGTGAGAGTGGCGTGTTGAAGTCTCCCACTATAAATGTGTCTGGTTTTATATGTGAGTTGAGTTTTAGTAATGTTTCTTTTACAAACGTGGATGCCTTTGATTTGGGACATAAATGTTCAGAATTGAGACTTTGTCCTGATGGATTTCTCCTGTGATGAGTAGGAAGTGACCTCCTTCATGTCTTTTGATTGATTTTAGTTTAAAGTCCATTTGTTGGATATTAGGATTGCTACCCCTGCTTGTTTCTTGGGTCCATTTGATTGGAAAATCTTTCTGCAACCTTTAATTCTTAGGTTATGTCTGTCTTTGAAGTATAGGTGCGTTTCTTGTATGCAGCAGAAGGAAGGATTCTGTCTTCTTATCCATTCTGCTAAACTGTGTCTTTTGATAGGTGAGTTAAGACCATTAATGGTGATGGATATTAATGACCATTGATTGTTCATTCTTGTGTGTTTTTGATTTGGTGATGGAGGTGAAATTATGTGTGAGATTCTATCCCTTTTCCCTTTTGACTATTGGTAAAGTGGGATTATCTATTGCCTATATTTTTCTGGTTGCAGTTAACTTCCTTGGTTGCAGATTTCTTTCCAGAACTTTCTGTAGGGCTGGGTTGGTGGATTTGTATTGTTTGAATCTGGTTTTGTCATGGAATATCTTGTTTTCTTCATCTATATTGATTGAAAGCTTTGCTGGGTTTAGCAGTCTGGGCTGGCATCCATGATCTCTTAGTTAGGTAGAATATGTATCAAGGACCTTCTGGCTTTCAGAGTTTCCATGGTACAGTGAGGTGTGATTGTGACATTTTTGCCTTTATAAGTTACATGACCCTTTTCCTTTGCTGCTCTTAATATTTTTTCTTTCCTGTCTCGAAAAACCAAAAAAATATATTGGCAAATTAAATGCAAGAACACATCAGAAAAATCATCCACCATGATCAAGTAGGCTTCATCCCAGGGATGCAGGAATGGTTCAACATGAAAAGCCATTAAAGTAATCCATCATATAAACAAACTGAGAAGAAAGATCACATGATCATCTCAGTAGATGCTGAAAAAGCTTTTGACAAAATCCAACACCCTTCATGATAAAGGTCTTGGAGAGATCAGGGATAACAGAAACAAACCTAAATACTATAAAATCAACATACAGCAAACCAACAGCCAACATCAAGCTAAATGGAGAGAAACTCAACTCAATTCCTCTAAAATCAGGAACAAGTCAAGGATATCCACTCTCTCCATACATTTTCAATATTGTACTTGAAATTCTAGCTAGAGCAATAAGACAACAAAAGGCTACAAATTGGAAAGGAAGAAGTCAAACTTTCACTACTTGCAGATGATATGATAGTTTCCATAAGTAACACAAAAACTCTACGAGGGAACTCCTACAGCTGATAAACACCTTGAGCAAAGTGGCAGGATACAAGATTAACTAAAAAAATCAGTAGCCCTTCTACATACAGAAGATAAATGGGCTGAGAAAGAAATCAGAGAAACATCACCCTTTACAATTGCCTCAAACAAAATAAAATACCTTGGGGTAACACTAACCAAACAAATGAAAGACCTCAAGAATTTTGAGTCTTTAGAGAAAGAAATTAAAGGAGATATCAGAAATTTGAAGATCTTCCATGTTCTTGGATAGGTAGGATCAACACAGTAAAAATGGCAATCTTGCCAAAAGCAATCTACAGATTCAATTCAATCCCTATCAAAATCCAGTACAATTCTTCACAGACCTTGAAAGTACAATTCTCAACTTTATATGGAAAAACAATTGACTCAGGATAGCCAAAACAACCCTGTCCAATCAAAGAACTTCCAGAGACATCACCATCCCTGACTTCAAGCTCTATTATAGAGATATAGTCATGAAAACGGCTTGGTATTGACATAAAAACAGACAGTTAGACAAATGCAATCAAATTGCAAACCCTGATATTAACCCACACACCTACAAAACCTGATTTTTGACAAAGAAGCTAAAGTTATACAATGGAATAAAGCATCTTCAACAAATGGTTCTGGGATAATTGGATGCTGGCGTGTAGAAGATTACAAATAGGTCCATATCTATTGCCATGAACAAAACTCAAGTCCAAATGGATCAAAACCTCAACTTAATTCCAGCCACACTGAACCTCCAAGAAGAGAAATTAGGTGGTAACCTTGAACAAATTAGTACAGAAGATCACTTCCTGAACATAACAAAAGTAGCACAGACACTGAGATCACAACTAGTAAATGGGACCACCTGAAACTGAGAAGCTTCTGTAAGGCAAAGGACACAGTCAACAAGACAAAACTGCAGCCCACAGAATGGGAAAAGATATTTACCAACCCCATTTCTGACAGAGAGATGATTTCTACAATATACAAGAACTGAAAAAGCTAGTCACCAAAACACCAAATAATCTAATTAAAAAGTGGGGTATGGAACTAAGTTGAGATTTCTCAATAGATGAATCTAAAATTGCTGAAAGAAACATAAGAAAGTGCTCAATGTTCTTAGCCATCAGGGAAATGCAAATCAAAACAACTCTGAGATACCATCTTTCTCCTGTCAGAATGGATAAAATCAGAAACACCAATTACAGTTTATGCTGGAGAGGATGTGGAGAAAGGGAAACACTCCTCCACTGCTGGTGGGAGTGCCAACTCATACAGCCACTTTGGAAATCAGTATGGGAGTTCCTCAGGAAAATGGGAATTAGTTTACCAGAAGATGCAGCAATTCCCACTCTTAGGCATATACCCCAAAATGCACATCCATACAACAAGGACATCTGTTCACCTTTGTTCATAGCAGCATTATTTGTACTAGTCAGAACCTGGAAGCAACCTAGATGCCCCTCAGCTGAAGAATGGATGGAGAAAATGTGGTACATTTACACAATTTACACATTTATACATTTACACTACTCAGCAGAAAAACACAACGGAATCTTGAAATTCGCAGGCAAATGGATGGAACTAGAGAAAACCATCCCAAGTGAGGTAACCCAGTCACAAAAAGATAAACATGGCATGTACTCATTCACATATGGATTTTAGACACAGAGCAAAGGATTACTTGCCTACAATCCACATCCCCAGAGAAGCTAGGAAACAAAGAGTACTCTAAGAGAGACATACATGGTCCCCCACAGAAGGGGAAAGGGACAAGATCTCCTGAGCTAATTGGGAGCATGGGGCAGGGGAGAGGGAGTTAGAAGAAAGAGAAGAGTACAAGAGGAGGGGAGAGGAGAGTATAGGAGAACCCAGGAAGATCCAGTCAGAGGAATAACAGAGGAGAGCAAGAAAAGAGATAACATAATATAGGGAACCATTATTGGTTTAAAGAGAAATCCGGCACTAGGGAAATATCAAGAGATCTATAAGGTTGACCCCAACTAACAGTCTAAGCAATAGTCGAGAGGCTACCTTAAATGCCCTTCTCAAATAATGAGATTGACATCTACCTTACATGCCATCCTAGTACCTTCATCCAGTATCTGATGGAAGCAGAAACAGACACCCAGATTTAAACACTGAGCTAAACTCAGGAATTCGGTTGCAGAGAGGGAGAAGTGATGAACAAATGGGTCAAGACCAGGTTGGAGTAACCAGAGAAACAGCTGACTTGAATAAGAGGTTGCTCATGGACCCCAGACTGATAGCTGGGAAGCCAGCATAAGGCTGTCCCAGATCCCCTGAATGTAGATGTCAGTTTGGAAGTCTGATTAATCTATGGGGTCTCCAATAATGGATCTGTATTTATCCCTAGTATATGAACGAACTTTGGGAGCCCATCCTACATAGAGGGATACTCTCTCAGCCTAGACACATGAGGAGTGTCTAGGCCCTGTTCCAAATGATATGACAGAGTTTTAAGATCCCCCATAGAAGTCCTTACCCTCCCTGGGGATCAGATAGTGGAGGGTTAGGGGTAGGTTTGACCACGGGTGGAGGAGAGGGAGAAGCAACTGGGATTGACATGTAAAACAAGCTTGTTTCTAATTTAAATTTTTAAAAAAGTAAAAAAAAATATGTTGGATTTAAAACCCTAATCCTGCATACAATTATTTTGAATTCAGCAAGGAATTCAAAGGTTTTGCACTCATTGTCTCTTAATAGCTTTGCCACCCTATTTCTCATGACACCTGGTACATATTACCTTTGTTGCTGCATCATAGCAGATGAAGCCAGTGCTGAAGTCAATAGTGAGGCCCATTAGGTGACTCTCCAGCACACATGCATAGGTCTTGCACTGGAAAAAACAGAGAATACTGTTAGTTTCCATATGATTGATTTAACCTCATTATCAAGGGGAATATAAAATGACGTCCCTGCAAGTAATACTCACTACCTGCCTGAGTGACGTTCAGTAGCAGAATACAGTTCTAACAATAATAAGGGCCTGGATTTGATCTCATGGATTATAATTTTACTTGTAAATTTTTGAAGATAAAATGTTGATACTGAAATATAAAATGGACTTAAATCAGATATGAAATATCTTAGGCCTTATATACAACATGACACATTTTTACATCTAGTTTTATTTAAATTTGATTTCAATGTTTATTACTATGTTGGATGAAGTAAATTAAAATTCACATATCAGGTAGCTATTTCCTTCAGAAATTTTCAAAAATCAATGCTTATATTGTATTTGTTTTATAATATTTATACAAAATATATTGCATATCACAAATGGATATAATTATGAATAAACATGTCATATTTCTTTTATCAGAATGCTATATACATATTAGTAAAGCCTAATTGGTATTAAAATCTTATAATAATGAAAATGTTTATTTGGAGTTAAAATAGAAGAGAAACCTTTTTTTTAAAGATTTTTTTATTTGAATTAGAAACAAGATCGTTTTACATGACAACCCCAGTTCCTTTCTCCCTCCTGTCCTCCCCTACCACCCCCCAAACTAAAACCCTACCTATCACATATCCTTTCTTTTATTCTTCTCCTGACTCAACCTTTCTGCTCCCTCATGACCTCTGGATCCTTCCTCTTCTTCCCTTCTCATTCTTGTAGCTCCCTCCCCCTCTTCCCGTGCTTTCAATTTGCTCAGGGGATCTTTATCCTTCCTTTCCCCTTCTACAGAGGAACAAGTATGGCTCTCTAAGGGTCCTCCTTGTTTACTAGTTTCTCTGGCAGAGTGGATTGTAGGCTGCTAATCCTTTACTCTGTGTCTAAAATCCACATATGAGTGAGTACATACTATGTTTGTCTTTTGTGATTGGGTTACCTCTCACAGAATGGTTTCTTCTAGTTCTATCCATTTTCCTGCAAATTTCAAGATTCCATTGCTTTTTCCGCTGAGTAGTAATCTATTGTGTAAATGTACGACATTTTCTCTATCCATTCTTCAGTTGAGAGGTATCTAGGTTGCTTCCAAGTTCTGACTATTACAAATAGTGGTGCTATGAACATCATTGAACAGATGTCCCTGTTGTATGAATGTGCTATTTTTGGTATATGCCTAGGAGTGGAGTTTATAGATCCTGTGGTACACTTATTCCCATTTTCTTGAGGAGTCACCATACTGATTTCTTAAGTCCAATTGGTCCATTACTTCGATTATTTCCTTTGTTTCTTTGTTAAGTTTCTTTCTAGTGTTCCTATCCAGTGGTGAGAGTGGCGTGTTGAAGTCTCCCACTATAAATGTGTCTGGTTTTATATGTGAGTTGAGTTTTAGTAATGTTTCTTTTACAAACGTGGATGCCTTTGATTTGGGACATAAATGTTCAGAATTGAGACTTTGTCCTGATGGATTTCTCCTGTGATGAGTAGGAAGTGACCTCCTTCATGTCTTTTGATTGATTTTAGTTTAAAGTCCATTTGTTGGATATTAGGATTGCTACCCCTGCTTGTTTCTTGGGTCCATTTGATTGGAAAATCTTTCTGCAACCTTTAATTCTTAGGTTATGTCTGTCTTTGAAGTATAGGTGCGTTTCTTGTATGCAGCAGAAGGAAGGATTCTGTCTTCTTATCCATTCTGCTAAACCGTGTCTTCTTATAGGTGAGTTAAGACCATTAATGTTGATGGATATTAATGACCATTGATTGTTCATTCTTGTGTGTTTTTGTTTTGGTGATGGAGATGAAATTATGTGTGAGATTCTATCCCTTTTCCCTTTTGACTATTGGTAAAGTGGGATTATCTATTGCCTATATTTTTCTGGTTGCAGTTAACTTCCTTGGTTGCAGATTTCTTTCCAGAACTTTCTGTAGGGCTGGGTTGGTGGATTTGTATTGTTTGAATCTGGTTTTGTCATGGAATATCTTGTTTTCTTCATCTATATTGATTGAAAGCTTTGCTGGGTTTAGCAGTCTGGGCTGGCATCCATGATCTCTTAGTTAGGTAGAATATGTATCAAGGACCTTCTGGCTTTCAGAGTTTCCATGGTACAGTGAGGTGTGATTGTGACATTTTTGCCTTTATAAGTTACATGACCCTTTTCCTTTGCTGCTCTTAATATTTTTTCTTTGTTCTGTATTTTTGGTGTTTTGATTGTTATGTGGTGAGGAGACCTTCTTTTTTTGGTTTAGTCTATTTTGTGTTCTGTAGGCTTCTTGTATTTTCATTGGCATGTCATTCTTTAGGTGGGGAAAGTTTTCTTTATGATTTTGTTGAATATGTTTTTTGTGTCTTTAAGTTGGATTTCTTCACCTTTTTTCTATACCTACTATTCTTAGGTTTGGTCTTTTCACAGTGTCCCATATTTCCTGGATATTTTGTGATAGGGATTTGTTGGACTTAAGATTTTCTTTGGTTGATGAATCTATTTCCGGTAGTGTGTCTTCAACTCCTGAGATTCTCTTTTCCATCTCTTTTATTTTGTTGGTTATGCTTACATCTGTAGTTCCTGATCGTTTACACAGCTTTTTTATTTCCAGCATTCCCTCAAATTGTATTTTCTTTATTGTCTCTATTTCAGTTTTTAGGTCTTGAACTGTTTCCTTGAGACATTTGTTGATCATCTTGTATTTTTTGCTTTTTTTCCCTTCCATTTCTTTAAGGGATTTTCTCATATCCTCTCTCATTTTCCTGAAGATGTTTTTAAGGTCATTCTCTTCTGGTTCATCTGCATTGTGATGTTTATTTCTTGCTGGTGTATGGTTCCTAGTCTCCAGTGGTGTCATATTGGGTTTTCTGTTGTTGGATGTGCTTTTACCTTGTCCTCTTCTTATCCTTTTTTCTGGTGGTTCTAGCAGGAGTCTCTTCCTCTCCTGGTGGGTATGGGACCAAGGTTCCCTCCTGGTAGATGCAAACAATTCCAATACTCTGATGTCTGTCGTCTTGTCACGGATGGAGGCAGAACTGCCACTGGTGTCTCAGTAAAGGAAACTTAATGGATATAAAATCTATGCTTGGGTACAAGTATATTTTCCTAATAAACAGGCATCTTCGATAGCTATATTCAGCCATTAGCAATTCATTTAAATTACTCTCAACATTAAGTTGTGTTTAAGTTTACATTGTTTACTTTTTATTTAGGCTTAATTATTTTCTACTTATTTGTATAGCCATTAAATGAAGATTCCAGGTGAAATTCCATTTGTTATAATGCATTAGAATTTTCTCATTAAGTTCAACTTTGCAAATTACATTGCCAATAAATGGAAACAAATGAATGGTATAAGTTGAGATCCACTATAATTTTATTCTATACCTTAAAGTGTCAATAAATAATGAATGCACTTAATATATTTAAATATGAAAATGTTTGTTATTGTTTAATTGCTGCATTTATGTAATGAAAAGTTATTTCAGTGTGAATAAAATGATAACCAAAAATATTATTTTTGGAAGCTCCAACATAAATCACTTGACAAGATTTTTGTATAGTTATATTATGCAGTATCTACAGGTAAAATATACATAGGATAAATACCTTAAGAAACTATGGAAATAAATTTCTACCAGAAGGTAAAGACACATATGAAATTAATCAATAGTAATTTTACATACATGTAGTAAGTTTTTAATTTAATATCCTATCCAAAACCTCATATTCAAAGGGGTAATTGTTGAATGTGGTTAGTAAATAATTATGAACCAAATGTATCCTTTACTGCTGAAATTCATAAATCCAGTAAAATTAACCTTAAATGAATTACATCTCATATTATTTCTTCTAAGTTAGGAAATGTAACATTTTATTTACCTAAGAAGTGCTTTATGTTTCAATATTCACTATATTTTCTAAAGATTAATTAGAAATTTAAATGAGACTGTTCAATGTACACAAAATATGTGCTTTTATGTGTCATCATTTCAAATAAATATGATAGTATTTATTCTGTGTTTACTACAAGTTCAAAACAAAACATACATAATTAAATAAATGTATTTCAGGTAGAAAATGTTGCTTTGTAGTCCTTGTAATACAAATATGTTTTTAAAGAAAAACACTTTAATTCATGACTTCTTCTATAGCATTAATCAAGGTATTAGCTTTCTTCTTTTTTGCCTAATTTTCATTAGCTCACATTTTCCTATTTATTGCTATTTTCCAGTGTTGAGACAGGGTCTCATGTAGCACAGACTTATATAGCAGAGGACAACACTCAACTTTTTTACCTGTCTTTACCTCCCAATTGCTGGGATTACAGACATGTACTGCCAGGTCCATAATTTTAATTTTAGCCAACTTTAAGGAAACCAAGATATTCATTCTACAGAAATTAAACAATATTTTCTTGCTAGTACATTCACATTCTCAAATGTGAAAATGAAATTCCATTTTTTTTCAACTAAATGTGCCCATTCCTAGTGTAGTTAAAAAGAGAAGTTATAAAATATGAGTCAAACCAAGAGTTGAGTATTTTCATTTCAGTTATAATATGTGTTTAAAAAACTAAGTGTCCACATATGCTGGTGCTTGATCTATGATTCTATTCCAAGGGGCAAAAACCTAATTAACTTTAAATTTTTTGTATCTTGTTCCAGGTCAACCACAGAACCAATTCTGTGATATGTCTCATTTCAGATACTCATGTATTTGAGAGGTTAAAGGGTTTATGAAGTCTGATTTAGATATAGCTTCATACAGGAGAACAACAATTCAGTAAATACCACTGGCCACTTGTGGCTTGCAAAATATCTTAGACTTCAAACCACAGAGGAATAAAATAAGCAACCTATGGCAATAAGTTTTTAATGTTATGGTGTAAGTCATCTGAAGAAAACAGTGAAACACTGAATGAAAGAAAACGGTGAATAACTTTTTTGCTACCGGGGGAAGTAGCGAGAATCAGCAGAACATCTATGAAAGGAATCGGGGAAGAAGCCATAGAAATTGAGGCCCATGGATGAAGTCATCTTTGAAGAAAGCTTCACATACTGTGCATTGTTTTGAAAGGCATAGTTCAAAGGAAGACATCTAGAAATTAGTTGGCCATGTCTGAAGAAAGGAAACAACCGCATAAATAGGGAACAACAGCAAGAGCATTTTCTATATAAGATTCAAATCATAGGAATATTTAATAGGAAGTAACCTATGAAGGCAAATTCATGAAAAAGAAACTTCAATGATTATTTGGATATGCCTACTTACTCATTTTTCAATAAAGGCTAAACAGTGGAATCATTTGAGGTGGAAGGCAACCTCACAGAACTGTGCTCAGATACCTTCTGAACTCCAGTGAGTGGTTAGATGTCCCCAGATATTACACAAAGCCCTCCATAGTCTCCTACCTGTATCCTCTCCACTTCTAGGAAGGTGGCTGTTTGGAAGGCTCGTTCCCATTGGGCAAGGTCACTCTCTAGCTCCACAGAGAAGTAGAAGTCCTCCCCACACTCAGACTGCATAGTAAAGCAGTATTTCCTCTGATCCAGCAGGTCACTGTCCTGATGAAAACCTGGAGTTACACAGGCTGGCATACATCAATTCTTAATCAGCGCAGCAAATGCCTACTGAGCTGCTTGATACAATGGGTAGATTCCACAATACACATGGAATTTTGTACTGTCATTAATCTTAATTCAAAATGGTTAAAACAAATTTTAAATCCCACATCTGAATCCATTTTCTGTGATCATTCACCCAAATTTCTTAGTAACAAAGGAATAACTACAGTGCTGAATGCACATACACAAAAAATCTGTGATTGCAAAATGGCCTGATACACAACACCCCAACTTCCTTGCAAACTGTCTGGGCACTGAGATGTAATAATGCTTATGATTATGCTGGCATCTTTCACAGTCATGAGAAAATTTCACTGAAATGATTTTTTTTGGAAATCATTAAATTCATGACCCCATAGAAAATTAGGAAAAACGTAGTGCAATTTTCTGCACCAATTGCTTTCTATATTCCCCTATGGCAAACATTTTCTTTATATGTGTAATTTTATTTCATTGTATCAAAGATTTTGCTCCTAGAAATTTCTTGGTTTGGTCCCACATTTTTTACCAAGGTGTTCCCCTAATGCAAAACATTTCAACTCTAAGGTACTTTGAAAATTCAGATATGCTATGTATGAAAAAGTACAGGACAACAGTCTGTACTACATTCTCAGATACATAATTTGAAATACTTATTCAATATACTGTAAATTTTTGAGGGGCTACTCATTGGTATCTAGCTATTGATGGAGGAATGCATGCAGATGTACCATAACTAAACAGTGCAAATACATTGAACCCTCGGCTTTAGCTATGATTTAAAACAGAATATCTAACTCCCTTGCATTCCAATTTGATTCTTGTAGGTACATACTGGAAGGATAAAGGAAGTTACTTCCAGTATTATAGAATTAACTCTGATTCTTGCTGCCTGAAAACTTTCAGGGAGCTAAGAAGATGGCATAGGCATTGCAAAAAAATTAACAAGACAATGTGAGCATAGAACACAAATAAATGGTGACAAGGTTCTTTTGGTGTTTGGAGGAAATATTGTATTTGGGGAGTGTCCCAGTGACAGATATTAAATCAAAGCAGCATTGAATACACTGGTACAGATCATTATGAGTACAAGTATAATTATGCCTTTGATAAATGTCTTATCACTTAATGGCTTAAGCTCCTTAACTGAATTAATGTCCTTGATTTTGCTCCCAATTTAACTTAGTGGAGTGAAGTTCTATTTTCTGGAAAGAAGATTATATCCAAAGGTATCTGATACATGTGGGGATGTGTGTGATGCATTCAGATGGAAGCTAGTTATTTAAAATGATAATTTTTAAAAGTGGCAAGATAATGAAAATAATGAATGAAGTTTTACATTATTATAGATTATTTGCATTCTTGAGTTCTTACTTAATATACTTTGTTAGTTTCATTATTATTTTGATTGATATACACAGGAATTTTCTGTAAGACATTGCTACAGGGAACCAGAAACCTTGTTTTTAAAATAAACATTGTTAAAACTAGAAAAGCACTCTGTTCTCTGGCTGCCGCTTGAGTCTGAGGTGAGACTTGGTGCTGCTCTGCCCACAACCTCCCCCATCCAACCCTGGTCGCTTCTGTCTGAGCCCCCCTGGACAAGAGTGGACCTGCCCAGACCGTAAGGCCCACCCTGAGTCTGGACATACCTCACCCTTATCTCTCTACCACCCTCTCCCTTCTGGCTGCTGCCTGAGCCTGAGCCTGCTGCCTGAGCCTCAGCCCTCCACCTACCACCAGAGAGAGGAGGAGACCCCACATACACCTACTGGAAGAAGGGATGGGAAGATGACAAGGTAAAAACACAGTCAACAACAGAAAGACCTATATGACACCACCAGAATCCAGATACTCCACACCAGCAAGGACTGAAAAGCCCAACGCAGAGGATGAAGAAGAGATGGACCTTAAAAATTATCTTATGAAGATGTTAGAGACCATTAAAGAGGAAACAAGAAAATCCCTTAAAGAAATAGAAGAAAAACAAGCAAAATTTACATGAAATGGAGGAAAAGACAAACCAAAAAAATTGAAGAAATAAACAAATCTCTTAAAGAATCTAAAGAAAGCCAAGAAAAACAAGCAAACAAGTGAAGGAAACAATTCAAACAGTTCACAGTTTGAAAGTACAATTAGAAACAATAAAGAAAACACAGAATGAGGGGATGCTAGAAATAGGAAAGCTGGGTAAATGACCAAGAACTTCTGATGTAAGCATAACCAATAGAATACAAGAGACACAGAGAGAATCTCAGGTGTTGAATGCTCATTAGAGGATATACAGTCATCAACCAAAGAAAATTTCAAGTCCAACAAATCCCTAACACAAAATATCCAGGAAGTATAGGACACTGTAAAAAGACCAAAATGCTGTCAGTGAGCGGGATGACTCCATGCCCCAAGGTTCCCAGAGAAAGAGGTAAACCTGCTGCCACTGCCTGCCCTGTCGGGCTGCTGAGAGACATCAGAGAAGCTTCCATATGCTCCCTTCATCCCAGTGCTTCTGGAGTTTAGACTTCTATCATCTCATAAGCTCTAACTTCAAAATTTAAGTTTAAGGACAGGCTACTTAGAAATAAAGCTTTTACTTGTATTTCCACAGAAAATGAAAAGCTGTGGATTCCTTCCAGACTAATATGGTTTGATCAAACAAGACCCCCTGAAGCTGAGATGATACAGCCTTACAGACTACAAAAACAAGGACTTGGTCAGGTTTCTATGTTTTATCATGATCCTAATGGTATGAGCATCCCCCCAATCAGCAGAAAGCAGTTTAGAAAGAACGACGCCCCAATTCCCAAATATTGTTTACAAGTGTTTTCATTTAAATGGAGTAGTTTATAAATGATAATGAGCATAGTCAATTTTTTTTAAAGAAAAAAGAGGAATAGGATATAGGACTAAATACTTTACATTGATATAGATTTTCATTTATTGATAAAACTTTAAGGTCAATTTTATGATATGCATATGTCTCCTCTTGTTTAAGTATTATGTTTATACAGATCTTTTACCTATAATATTCAGAACTTACAATTAGGTTAGTTAGGTTTTCTAAATATACAGAGATGTATTTGAGATGGATAGGTATTCTTCAAATATTTCAAAGACCTACAAAAATATGGCATTTAAATGGTTTAGGGTTTTTCTTGGCAGTAAGACACAACTGCTCCTGGCACACCAATTACATCAAAAAGGAGAATGGGCATCAAAGAAACTCGTTATGGAGTTTGCCTTCAACATGGCAAGATTAGCCATTTGCTCTTGCCTGGACTGTTTGTTGCTGTATAAACTGGACTTGCAGGACCCACAAGAAAGTGACTGCTAAACTTACAAGACAGTACTGAAGGGTTCCTGTTGAAATGGAGAAGTGTGCCAGACACACTGTGGCCTATGGGCTGAAGATGGATGCCGCAACATTACAGAAGAACTTTGGGTGAATGTCCAGGTAGCAAGATGTCTCTGTCAATTCTAGAGTTTATATATTATCCTTCTGTGGTCTTTGATAGAATTGAAGACAGATAGTTATGGTTATAGTTTTCTTCAGTTATTATAAAAGTTATCCTTTTATTTAGACAAAAAAGAGGAGATGATGGGGAATGTACGGTGTATGTTTATCTTATTGATTGTTGAATAAAATACTGTTTGGCCAATGAGACAGCAAGTTAGATGGGACTATGAGTCAAAGAGGATTCTGGAGAAGTGGTGATCCAGGCAGGAAGTGACATAGCAAGGAGACTCATATTTAAAGAAGGAGAAACAGGAAGCATCCCTTTTTTCCCCTTTGCTCCTGCTCCAGCAGCACAATGTGATCCACCAGCAAGGAGGGACACCAATAAGGCGTCCGATAAGATAAGTCTTATAAAATATATAGGTTTATGATAGTTAAGACTGAGCTAACAGATGAGAATCCTAGTCATTGGCCAAGCAGCATTGTACCTAATACAAGTTTCTGTGTATTCATTTGGGCCCTAACTCAGGAGGGCGGCTGGCGTAAAGCTCACACATGGCAGTGGAGCTCAGGCGGCTTTTGGCAGAAAGATTTATCATAACAGACCAAACCTAAGAATAATAGGTATAGAAAAAGGTGAAGAAATTCAGCTCAAAGGTACAGAAAACATATTCAACAAAATCATAGAAGAAAACTTTCCCAACCTAAAGAAGGATATGCCTATGAAAGCACAAGAAGCTTACAGAACATCAAATAAATTGGACCACAAAATGAAGTCCCCTCTCCACATAATAATCAAAACACCAGACTTACAGAATAAAGAAAAAATATTAAGACCAGCAAAGGAAAAAGGCCAAGTAACATACAAAGGCAGACCTATCCAAATTACACACGACTTCTCAATGGAAACTTTGAAAGCCAGAAGATCCTGGATAGATGTTCTACAAACGCTAAGGGAACATGGATGCCAGCCCAGAATACTATATCCAGCAAAGCTTTCAATCACTGTAGATGGAGAAAACAAGATATTCCATTAAAAAAACAGATTTAAGCAATACATAACCACAAATCCAGCCCTACAGAAATTACTGGAAGGAAAACTCCAATGTAATGAAGATAACTACACTGAAAAAACCATAGGCAATAGATAATCCCTCTTGATCAAACAGCAAAAAGGGGGGGCACATACAGCAACACCACTACCAACAAATCCAAAAGAATAATCCACAATCAATGGTCATTAATATCCCTCAATGTCAATGATCTCAACTTGCCTATAAAAGATACCGGCTAACAGAATGGATACAAAGACAGAATCCGTCCTTCTGTTGTATACAAGAAACACACCTCAACTTCAAAGACAGATGGTACCTCAGAATAAAGGGTTGGGAAAAGATTTTCCAATCAAGACCCAAGAAACAAGCTGGTGTAGCAATCCTAATATCCAACAAATTAGACTTCAAACTAAAGTCATCAAAAGAGATGAAGAAGGGCATTTCATACACAT